CGCGGAGTGCCCGCACGGCCCATTTTATATCGCCGGGCCCAGGGCGGGGCCGGCCCGGGCGGGTGCGGAGCCGGGATGCGCCTGTCCCACCCCTTCCAGCGGCTCCCGGGGCCGGACTGGCTGCCCTCCAGTTAGGCGTTTTTAACACGCCTGTAAAACAAACTTACCCGGAGTCCCTTTTGCTTCCGTGCCCAGCGCCCTAGCAGGAGTGTTATAAAAAATCAGCCATCCTCGCTGCAAACAGAGAACGTTTTTCTGGTCTAAAATAATAGGAGAAAACTCCAGAAAAGAAAGAAAAGTACAAGTGAGCTAATCAACTGTCTGCTAATGTTGTAGCATTGTGCTGTTTGCTTCTATAATTTTCACATCTGCCTTGTATGAACTGCTCATACCAGACTACAAAGAGTTTCTGCATCTTGCACTTGCGGTGGAGAGCTTTTTCATCCTCAGCTGGAAAGGCACAGCACTGCTCTCATTCACCTTGTAATCTCATTTATTTTGTTCAATAGTGATAGAAATCTCTCGGGGGGGGGGGGGGGGGAGAAATCTTTCATCTGGGATTCCAGATGAAGCCCAGAATTTATATATATTTCCCTTTCTCAGAAAATTTAAATAGTTCTGTTTTTCCAAAACTGCAGCAGCCCAAAAGGTTTTAAACCCACTTCCTACTTGTTTGTCTCCTTTATGTTTGGTACATCAATATGACAATTGCAGTTTTCATTGCAGTATGAAAATTATAGCAAATCACTGTTTCACATCTAATATTGATAGGCAGATCAGTCTGGGTACAATGCAAGCAGATGCAGTGCAAGCTGCCAGTATTTCAAAAGGTACATTTCAGAAAGGATTTTGTTTTGCTTCATTATCTTATCCACCTGGATGAGTTTTGAAGCTCATCATTTCACCACTGGGTTGCTTTATCAAGTTAACACAAGAAGAGTGTAAGTATCCACCCCCAGGCAGATCAGGGCTCCCTCCGCAAGTGGGAGAGGCACTGCTAAATGCATCTAAGCAGTGGAGAGCATCTTTGCTTGCAAAAAGTTAAAAAAAGCACACCACAACTAAGAAATCTGTGTAACTATCTTCCCATCTGCTCTTTATACTGTCTTGAGGCAAAAGACGACCTTACACTGAGTGTACCCACTATCATCTCCCATTTTGGTGGGCAGCCAGTCATCAGTTTGCCAGACAGAGGTGCACAGGCACCCTCAGCTTTATCCTCCCTGTTTAAAAAAGCAAACTCTGTGTGCTGTGTTTTGTCTAAGTTCCAGCTGAACATGGTGCAGCTCACCTTCACAAGTTCATGGCCAAGCATTTTATCCCTCATTCTGCCTCAGCTGCAGTAAGCCTGCTTGATAAACAGTATAATTCCCAAATAAAATACCTTTCTCAAGATGTTCATCATGTGAAGAAGAAAAATAAAATAAGAAAGAGTAGCCAAAAACTTCCAGCAGTTCCAATTTCAATATGGTATCAGAAATATTTTGAAATATTCAAAAGTGATTTCTCAAATTTGTCCTCACATTTATGCCAATTGCTCTTCTGTTCACTTTTACTCACTTAATTACACTAAGCAGTTTTTCTACTGGCATGCCTTTTTGCATTGTTGTGCATTAGCTTGTTTCAGTCAGTGAGGGTAGAACTTACCACATACTCTATAATTGTATGGGTTTACTATTTCTTCTGAAGTTGTCCAAGTGAACTTGCTTTGCAATTGGGCTGTTTTGCCCATACAGGAGTTCAAACCAGCCCAGTGTTATGCAGCTTCATGTCTCCTACATGTTCTACTTGTCTTGCCAAGATAAAATTGTTCATGCACAGATTGCACAGAATAGGTTGGTTAAATTTATATTTCCTTATTACAGCTTTACATTTTAAATCTGAAGACTAAATACTGCTCTAAGCAGAATAGCTCTTGCTGGCATGAGATACCTGCTGTTTGTTTAGCATTGACCATTCCCAGTATCACACACCAATGGACAAAGGTTAAAGACACAAGAACAGTTTAATTGTTTTATCTCAGTGTCTGTGGCACTACTCAGACACAAAGGATGTTAGTACTGACAGCGGAGTTTTCTCATGCCTGAGTTTGTCTTATTAGGATTATGTAATCACTTACTGGCTGCTGGCAAAGAAAACCTTGGATTGAAGTTTGTATCCATAAGTGGCAGGATATTTTAACCCTTTCTTATTTTATTTTTCAACTGTTTGCAAATCTTGCTTTTGCAATCTCACTTCTAATGAAAGTTGTACTGTCTTCTGTCTTGATCCATCCTTTTTTTGTAGCAAAAGTAAGAACATTGTTAACATGACAGATTTTCATAAATTTTTAAATAACCAAGAACTTTCTAAAATGGTTAATCAAAAGTGAAATTTTGGAGTAATTTTGGAGTATCTTAAAAATTGCACATTCAGAAAGAATATTTATAATTACTTTTTATGTGCTTTTGCATGTCCTTTGACATAGCAATTGGAGAGCACTAAAAATAGCATTGTTTTTGTGACTCACAAGTCCTTGGTCAAATAGTAATTATTACAGTCATTAGAAATTGCAATGTAATGGAATTACATTGGAAGGAATGTAATTTTAGACTACCTTAAGATTTCAAAGAATTATTTTCTAATTTACTAAAGATTATAGCTTGCTGATGAACTATGGCTTTCTCAGAAGGATGGCAAAGGCCTAGCACTGTTTTAGCTTTGTAGTAGCATGGAGAAATAATTTTACATCACACTTTTTCCTCGGGGGAAGGTCAGGTGTAGCAGTTGCCTACTGTCACAGCCCAGGAACACAGTTATGGGGTACAGATGCAGATTTCTGCCTGCTCAACTGCACTGTTTCAGGAATGGCCATCTTTAAATGCCTGTCTTTTTCCCAAGTCCCAATAGATCACACAGGGGTATTTGATGTTCATGCTCCTCATCTAGTCCTTGGAAAAGCAGATTCAAATATATTTAATTTAAAGCTTTGGTATGACTCAGGGAATTCAAAGATTTATGAAAAACTTTGCCATTTAATTTTGCTCACTTATTTCCTAAGTATTTTTAATATTGAATAAGGGATCTTTTCCCCCTCAAAGTATTGTTGTCATATAGTGCATATACGCACAGTGTGTCCATACACCAGAATACCGGAATGCAATGTCCTGAGTTCTGATTTTTGTCCCAGTCAGGGGGAATGTTCACAAAAACAGAAGGTGGTGTTTCCAGGTGACATACACAAGGAACCTAAAAGGACCCCAGAAGTTAAGCCTAGTGTCTTTCCCAGCAGGAATAGCTTTCAGTTTATACAAAGTCTAAGGTTTAAGTCCTTCTACAAAGCCTGACTTAAGTTCAGGAGCTAACAATGGAATACAGGGAAGAGAGTATTTTCAAATGTCTCATGTGTTTCCTTCTACAAAGCTTGTATCTTCTTCACCAAAATTGGCAAATGCCCTCCTGAACTCTATAACCCTACCTAAACAAGGGGATTACAGATGTTTAGTTTTGCCTCTAGTTTCACATAACAAAGTTTCCTGTAGTCAGAGTATGTGTGTCAAAAGCACACTCTTGACCCACCAGTCACAGAAGTCAACCTCTGTTTTCATCTGTTCTGTTGCTGAATTAATTACTAATCAATAGTTATTTCAGATTTATTTCTTACAGATTTAGTCTATAGTGTCAGTTTGAAGATCTGAGCTAACTTCTTATTCCAATATTCATCTAAAAAATAATGATTACTGATAATGTAAGAGCTGAAGGAGAATTTGACCATACACCTTTAAAAGCCAAGTTATCAAAACAAGCTGCAGAATTATGTTGCCACTTGCTAATTCTCTCCATTCTCTCATCATCCTTCCATCCTGTCTGTTAACTTAGCTTCTTCCACTGGAGAGAACATGCTGAAGAAAGACTGAAACCTAACTTTCCTCCTTATTGGAAAGGTTTGAGTTACGAGGCTACCAGATGAGAGGCATGAAAAACCCGGCATAAAGGTATGAAGTCCTCCTTTACCTTAAGAAAGGAATCTTGCTTTAATCCTTCAAGTCCAGAGCAAAGAAAGGGCCTTTAGTGTGTAGCTTTGAGGCAGGTGTGTAAGGCATAGAGAGCGTAGGATCACAGCTACACCGTGTGAACCACTTGGCAACTGGCTGGCTCCTACCTGCTTAGTGAGCGCTGTCACTGTCTGTGGCAGTCTTTGTGCTGCCTGGAGAGGCTGTGAGGGATTCTCCAGTGGTATCCACCGTTCTCACCTGTGCAGGCAAGGACACCATGTGGCCAACAGCTGAGAAGCTCTGACTCTCCAAATTCATCCTTCAGCAATGGAACTAAGTAGGGCATGTAGAAAAAGTGATCTGCGTGTTGGCTTCCATCAGAGAATCTAGGCAAACATTTTTGACACTGGGATAGTGAGAGGTGCTAATTATGAAGTATGTTACAGCTCCCTGAATTTTTTTTTATGTTCTTCCCTTGAAATATTCAATGAGCAGCATAAATGTTTCAAGAAATTCTTATTTTATATTCATCTCAAGCCACAGTATTATACCATTATATTTTATATTTTAGTAAGTCAGAGAGAGGAAATTGAAGCACTCCTTCAAAAATCACGTATCTTCCAAAAGACAGAAGGTCTTCTTTATGTTCCTGTGACATGACATTTCATGTGATGATCATGAGATTAGATAAGAGTTAGAAAAATATATTCTCAGGCTCATCATTTTACCCGTCTTGGCTATCTAGGTAGAGAAATGTCATGATTCCCATCAATGATTAATCATCCTGTCCACATTATGTGCTCATTTGGTCTACCAAAGGAATAAATCATGCTGTTCTCTATGTAACCCAGTAAGTTTCACCAAGACCATCCCACTGATCCTTAAGTTTGCTGTCTTATATTTAGATATAGTGGTATCAGGTTTCATGGGGAAAATATCCAGCCCTTTTCAAAAAGTTCAAATTTTAGTGAATCAGTGTATCACTAGAAAAAATTGAAAGGCCATTCTGAAGAAATATTCAGAAGTAATGACCAGAAATTGAAAAAGAAGTAAAGACTAATGAATCAGTCAGGAAGTTTAATTAAAACAAGACTATTTTATATCAGGTGATACATTTGATTATTGCTGCAAAACCTCTTTCACACGCTTTTATCAATTTCCACAGTATTGCTGGGACTCGGGTGCATACTGCTTTGTGAAAAAAATATTGCAAAGGATTGATGGGAATTAAACATTGATTTCTGTATTTATTTATTTATTTAATTATTTAGAAAAGTTAAAATACATAAAGAGGGCTACTATAAGGTAGTTACAGTATTTGTCTGCATAGATTGATATTCTGTAAGTGTCAAGGAGTATGATTATCCATTTTGAATTTGAAAATACTGTAAATTTGGCCTGACTTTAATTTCCTAATGATATTTTGTGTGCTAAGAAGGGATAAGGGAAGTTTCCTATTTCTGTTTTGCAGCTACAGGTTTTGATGATGGCTTAAATTATTTCTGAATACTTGGAAAAGAGGGACAAGGAAACAGCCACACTTCCATTTACCATCAGTGCAGTAATTAAAGTTAAAAGCATCTAAATAAAACTGAGGAGGAGAGAAGAGGAAGAGAGTTTTACTCAGAAACAAGAATGCAACAATTTGAAGAAAACACAGTCATCTTCTGGACCCATTTATTAAATATTTAACATCCACTAAGGTCAAACTCTCCAGCAAGAGGTCCTTAAATCTGTTGAAAGTGTGCCTGAAATACTGGATATGGCAGTATGGAGAGAGCAGGGAACTCAGGGAAAACAATTTTCTTCAATCTGTATAAGCAATCTGTATAAACCAGTGGCTCTTCTAGACATGTACTCACAAAGAGGGAAGGGGTAACAAATCAATAGAAAAGTGGTAATAAGCAAAATTGGTGGTAGCTATCTAAACTGAGGGAAGATCTCAGTTTAATTTATTTCATTGTGTTCTTAAATAGTAGATGTTTCCCTCATTATTTCCTTGATTCTAACTTGTCTGAGAAGGTTGCTGAAATTAATACAGAAAGAAACAATCATTTTGCAATGTTAAACTAAGATCCTCAGAAAAGGATTTTTTTCTAAGTTTCTAGTTGCAGGTCTGTTTTGAAATAAAGTTATTCTGAGATAGCTTTCTGTTTTGCATGAAGACTGTGTCAATGCATTTATGCATTTAAAGGTGCTGGGTGTGAAAAGCAGAGTACTCACAGCATGTGCATCTTCTTCCCCCCCATTTAGCAAGCAGTGCCTTCGAATTCTCACAGGAGTAAGCTCATCCATTGTAGCTGATTTCAGTGGTAGATATCCATGGAACAGGCCAGGTTCTCTATTCCAGGCAAAACAGTTGTAAGATTATTTAACAATGAATAAAAACAGGATTTAAGCTTCTTTAATATTTTAAAAATTTTTGGAATAACACAGTTCACTGCAATGGTACGGCTGTTTTCTAAATATGGAGTAGTTCCTCATTTTCATCAAATGTCACACATAAACTTATCCTGTGTTTGGAAACCATGTATTGAAACTAACTTTTTTTAAAATACATTCATTGACAGTCACATAAAATTTGAAACAACTTCTGAAAGTGTGCATCAGTTTTTAATTCACTGATCATGAGCACTTACATAAATCACTAAGATACCTGAAGCAGAAAAGAAGGGGAAGAAGACTTTCTCTTTTCTGACTTTGTGAAAAAAGTCTGCTTGAAGGTTTCTTGAATTTAGTATACCAGCTTGAAAAAATAAACATTTTGAAATGTTTATTTTGAAAAAATAAACTGTTGAAAATATCCAGTTCTTACCAAGCTCATATAGGGAAGTGTTTATGCCTCACATTTATTTTTTAAGCACAAGTGTATTGTTATAGTTTCATTAATGAAAGTGGTTTTAAACTCTCCAAGAATAACACATTTGAGAATTATGAACTTTGTTACTGTGCATCAGCATTTATGTATTAACCAAGTTGCCAGCACAACAGTAAGATCACTAACAAAAGACCTGTCACAGCATTTTAGAGTTAATAGTCTCACCACTGCTTCAGTTTCAACAGGGCAGAAAAGCTTCCTTGATCAGGCTTCCCCAATTAAATTAGTAGTTTTTAAGATCATCAATATTTATTGGGGATCAGCCTATTGAATTTAACAGATCTGAAAGCAAAGTTCTCTGAAGAACAAGGCATCCATACATCTGTTTCTACATCAGAGGCACCAGATTTATAAAATTAACGTCTTTCTTTTCTCAGAGGTATTGAAAGTATACTAATTTGCCAAAAAGCTGCTGACATTTGCAATCCTGCTGAAGGCAGCTTCTAAAATTATTATTTCTTGGTAGCCCATGTTCAGGATGGGATCTTGATATTGTTCAACAGGTCTACAGAAAGATCTATTTTAAATCAAATTCCTGTTTCAAGAGTCTGAGACATACTTACTGGAAAAGGACCAAAATAAAACATTTGTTTTGAAGTTGCTTTCATAAGTCTAAGTGACAAGGAAAGGCATGGAGGAATATATTGTTAGGTTTTTTTGCCACTCATCAGGAGCAAGAGAGAAAGTCTGAAGAACACACATTTCCTATCAACTTAAGTCTGATTAGTAAATCATACATGTCCCTCAGCCTTAGATGCCAATGCAAAAGTCAATCTAATAGGAATCAATACACTTCCTTAGTGCCTTGTTTTAAGGAGCCTATTATCCTAGAGAAAGCATGTCCTCGGGGACACAGTGCATTATCTTTGCATACCCTGTTCTCCTGATTTCTCTTCCTATTTGATTGTCCACTGACAAAGGGCAGATACCAAATTAAATAAAACAGGGTAAAATGCATAACTGATTTGAAACAGTGAAATGTCTCAATCCTAGCTAGCATTAGGCATAACTCCCAGAATAAATTAATTTTCTCATTAAAAAAAAGACTAAAACCTAATGTCTCTGATATTTGTCATCCCCTTATTTTCTTCATGTTAATAATACGTGAGAGACTGGAATGTTAATGGTAATGACTCAAAACAATTGGCCATTTGCAAAAGCCTCAGATTGCTCTGCTGATCTTGGGCAAAGTAACCACCCGTGTGCAGAGGGGTGCACATCTGCCACAGAGGCTGCAAGCTGGGGTTTGAGCCAGTTAAAGGAAAAGGCCAATAACAATCAGATCCTGAGGTGAGATAGTGTTTTTTATCATGCCAGTGTTCTCTCATAGATTATTGGCTCAAACGTGGAAAATTCTCTTTGGGGAAGTACGGGGACATTCACACATAGGCCATAATTCACTCAACTACACTGATGAGAGGCAGCTGTAATGTCTTAGAAGGAGTAATAAACCATCAAAGGCCCCAAAAGTACACCACGATCCACAGTGTTACATCATGCAGTGTAAAACTCCTCACCCCAAGAGGAGGTACCTGGGCATTCCCACCAAACCTGAGAGTATGTTAACCAATTCAACTCTGTGTTTTGTGGGCTTTCCGCATCCCCAATGGATCAGGACTGCCACCATCAGTCATCAAAATTGCAACCAAATCTTGCTGCTAGACCCACAGATGGCAAATATACACCTTTTTACTCTTATTCTTTCTTTCTTTTCCCTTATACATTTTCTTAAGTGTTATTTTATGCTTTTTTATTATAGATAATAACCAAAATGTCTACATCGTGCTTTCCACTGCAACCAAATTGTTCTAAAATAAACCCTACAGATATATATATTTGTAAATATTGGTCATTCCATGTCATTTCACTCTAATACACCCCGAGGGATCTATTTTTAAAGCACTGTTATCAAGTACCTGCCTTACCCTCCCCTTCTGGCATAGGTTATAACAAATACTGTATATACATGTGCTCCCAAACAGATCTACAGCATTCACTGATTCCAGAATAAGATTGTTGAACAGATACCAAGCAGCCATTAGCTTTTGTTCCAGAACAATAGTTTAGGTCTTTTCCCTGGGCCTTCAGTTTATCCTGCTAATTTAAATCCCATCTCACTCCCTCTGTGCAATGTTCTGAGGTCTCTGACATTCTCCTGTCCCATGTTTTCAAGCCTTCTTAACTAGACCTGCTAGAAGCCTAACATAAATCTTATCTGTATCCCACCCATTCCCCCTTCCTATATGACTTCTTAGAGTACATTCCTCAAATTTCTATTTCTAAAAATAACATCCTAAACAGTACCACAAAAGAATGGTTGATGTCCAGTCTTACGAGACCTACAGTGTTATGAAACTGTGATATACTGTGTGATGCTAGGAAAAAAAGAAACAAAACCAAACAAACAACAGCCTGCAAAACCCTGTCACAATAGTCAATAAATAAATTTATAAATTTTGGGCTCTTTTTTTTTCAGTGACATGGCAACAGAAAACTAGGTGTATGGACAGTGTGCTTGAACCTGCAGATATGGAAGGCACTTGAGGCTTTGTCCTTCCTGGATTCAAGAGAAGTATTTTCCTTGCTCCATCCAAGGTAGCCAAATGACGCACTTACACAGCTCCTGCATGACAGGGTTCACATTTTGCACAGGCCATGCCAGACAGCTTTTAAAGCTATGATCAGAGGGACGTAATCAGAAGGACGGGTGCATATTGTAACATTTGTTCTAGTACAGGCCATTATATCCCCTTTCCTTCCTTGCCTTTTCCACGAAGTCAGAAAATTTCCTCTGTTGGGAACAGAAAAATCCCTTTGCTATCCTTTGATTTTCTCCATTTTTAGTTATTTTCACTAGTAACATTTTGTTACTTACTTTCAAAAGTACATAACCATCAACAAGAACAATTATTCACAGGAAAAACAACACACAGGAACACAGTTTTTTATGGCTCCGTGTTTTGACATTCCAGTGGCTGTCAGGCGATTGTTTTTCTCATATTCATCTCTTGAGATGAACACTTAAGAAACAGCCATCACTGCTTGACTACCATTTTCTTCTAAGAAGCAAGTAAGAAGCAAGTGAAAATAACCTGTTTCTCTTTATGAAGTGAAAAATGATAGTCAAAGAGTCAGTTGAAGAACATGTTATTACAGATATATTTATTTTTCAAAGCACAATTTTAGTGCAATCAGCATGACAGATACTTCCTTGACTGACTTTTTCCAGCTAAGAAAAGGCCTCTGTGGAAGAAAAGTAGCACTTCAGTGTTAAAAATCTTGATGTTTTAAATAGTTATAGACTAGAGTTTCTGTTTCACACACTGTCTGGTGGTTTGTAACTTGAGGAAATCCCAGGGAACTAAAACTAAGCTGGCTCTTTGTGAAAAGAACCACGTACATGCAGCTTGCAGCCACAGCTGCCTTTCTAACTATGCACATCTCACTGCCTCTTCCAAAGCCCTCTCCTCATGACTCCACAGCTCCCTCTTCTTTTCCCAGTCTTATCCCTGCTTATTGTCCTTCACCATGCACAAAATTCAGCAGCACAGTCCCAGCAATTCCTGAGCTGTTATAGTGGTTGGTGTCAAAGGAAAAGAAGGTATTATTCTCATCTAAGTGAAAGGAGTAATCCCACAGTATTTTTCATTTGACTTCACTCCTTTATTTAGCATTGCACAGGTCTCTAAGTGTCTTTTGGGATGCAGTTAGTACCTTATTAAAGACAGTCCCTTATTTAAAACAAATTAATATTTTTCTTCCTTATAGAAAGTGCAATAGTTCCCAATAGCACAGTGTTAGCTAACTGCAGTTGTGTTATCAAGGTAATAAAATTACCCCACTGTTATCAGCACAACATGATAAGGTATAATGCAGTGCTCAAAGCAATATTCAATGAAGCAGAGAAGTATCTAGCAGGAAATTATTTTTTCTGTTTTTTCCATTATATTAATTTTAATTGTGGTTAATACAAGTTTGGTTTTTTTTTTATTTTATTGCAGACCAACCTGCTATCTTTACCATCTTTTGTAAATCAGGTCTCAGAAAGATTTTAATAAATAATTCTTTAAATGCTAGATTTTTAATACATTGTTAAGTTGATTAATTTGTGTCTTTTAAATGATTTTGTTTCACAGGAAAGGCATAAAATTTGGTATTTCAAAGGCTTAGTGTGACAAAGATACTAACACTTTCAATAGTACTTAAAATTTGATGACAACCTGAATACTCTGCGTGAATATGCTAAAATTTTCAAATATATGGTTTTGTCATGGAGGAAGGATATAGAAAAATGTCTTTTAGTTGAACTGGGGCATAAATTCATGGTAAAGAATGTAATCAAAGTTATAGAAGTATTGACAGATCTTAGATTAGAATTAGGAGTCACAGGATCACAGGATCAACTAGGCTGGAAAAGAACTTTGAGATCATTAAGTCCATCCTGTGTTTAATTCAAACACTGATTTTAACCTGCATGGTAATTATCCATGAGTTCCAGAAATCACAGTGGACATGGCTAAAGCTAATATAAAGTACAACAGTTTTAGAGATAACATTGAATTTGAAGTATGTGGGGGATAGCAGAGGATGTCCTGAGCAGAGACCTTGAAATTACTTTTATTATAGTTTGTTTTATAACAAAGATATATAGGGTAAGTTCTATGCATATACAAAATACTAGTATTAATAGCTTACAGAATCTACTGATTTGTCTTTATAGAGTCAGTATGTGTGGGTGACAGATCTGAACATTCTTTTGTGTAACACTTGGTCCTTCTGGTCATTTATGAATTCACAGATATTTACAGATAACCTGTAAACCTGCTTCTTTCCTTTTAGGACTTCACAAGGCTTCACATTGTAGCTATATAAGCTGTAGAGGTTTTCATAAAGCAGTTTCTAAAGGAACAATCTCACAGTGCTGCCTAAAACAAAAGAATTCACCTCCATTAAGCCTGTTTCAAAGTACACTGAAGGTAATGGAAAAATACAGACTGACTGGAGCAGATTTTAGATCAGTGTCATTTTTGGTGATGGCTACTGTGCATTATTCGTATACTGGGCTAAGAGGTGTTCACACTGAAGTTGACTGTGTGCCCAAAGGCTGATATAGCTGTCATCAGCATTTACGGTGCATTTCCACCCCCACAATGAGTATGCAAAAGTAAAAAGAATGAAGAGATTTTGCCTGTATCCCTAACTGTTGAGACATGAGAACATCACTTTAGCCAGCCCCTGGTGCAAAAACCACACTCTGCTTCCTCGGAAGTTTAAGAGCTTTGCAAACTATGTCAGCAGAGATGGAGATCAGCCTGAATAGCAAACATCTCTGCAGGGCAGTCTCAGGCCCCTTTGGACTCTGAATCTGAGTGTGTAACAGGGGCACAAGTTGATGCTAATCTGAGGTGAACACGAAGAGTTGTCAGAGCACTCTGTTTGGGTGCTGCTCTTCTTCCACATGTACCTATAAAACAGTGCAGTGGGCAATAATGCAGACACAGCAGAATGCCAGTGACACTGCAGTCCTGCTGGGCTCTGCTGCATGCTGCTACCCTGCACCAAGCCAACACTGCAGTGCAAGCAGAACTGCTCTCTGGAGAGCCTCTCAGTCTCCAAGTTGTAAAGGAGCATCATCAGTGTCTTCAGATCAAGCCACTTGCACTGTATTGGTAAGCCTGGGTAGGTAATGAGGGCTTCTCCTTGGACAGATGGGTAACAGCACTGCAGCTGCCTTTCACAACAGCTACAGCTCTGAGTGTCACAGCTCTGTAGGAACTTGGAAGCAAGATATCTGTCCTGCCAGTAGCAGTGATGCTCTAAGAGCTGCTTTCTTGCCAGGATCCTAGTAACCCTTAATATAAAGCTGCATGCCAAAACAGACCAAAAAAACTTAAAACTTAAGGCATCAAGGATGTACTATTGGAAGAAAAGAAAATTTTATGTTTCTTCACAGTGTTCTTAACCAGAATAGTTTTTTTTTTCTTACTTTTATATATATCACATATGGTAAAGGTATTTAGCATAAACAAAGCAGGTAAACAAAACAAGCCAGCATTTTCAAAAAAACTCTGTTTATATTCTTAGGATATTTCTTATTGTATATTTGTGAGTAAAGAGGATTATCCATGCATAGATTTACTGTAGGTACCTTTGTTTCCTTAATAACCTTTGTACCCCAAGGTCTCTAGCAATTGTGCTCTCCTCACTGCAGAGCAGCCCTTTAGTTTTTTTTTCCTGACTCTTCTAAGTGAAAGAGTAAAGTTGCCTAAGCCAGGAAATGAGTGTCTGTAACATGTCCATGTGTCTAACTCTGCACTACAGACTAGCACAAGGGACTACCTCCATCTTGTTGGTCATAATGAAGACACCCACATTTTTAAAGATGATGTGTCATGCACAGAGGTTAAGGACAAAGTTCATTCCTCTTTTCCTCAGGAGCATTAGAAATGTCTTCACAAGTGTTATAAGAGATCAAATTTACTTGGAAGAGTTTGTCTGAAATTGACTCTTCCCTCAGACTTTTGGGGCAATTAATTTACCTGCTCTGTGCTCTTGTTTCCATCTGTCAAAAGACCAAGTCAATATAATTTCTTTGAAGGACTTCCACATGTGTCACTTGATACTGTCCTTCCTATCACTATGGGGAGGTCCAGCTAAAAATTTATCATAATCAATGATTAATATAGATACAGTGCTATTATCTTATGATTATGTCTACCAAGCTCTAACAAGAGCTCCAGATCCTAACAACCTCTGAATTTTAATTTGTCCCTAGCCTTTCATTTGCCATGCACAGAGAAATCACCTTTTACTGGGCTGAGTTTGCGTGGCACTCAGGAAATGAGTAATTTACAAGCAGACTGAGGACTTTGTCCTTTCCAAACTAAAATTTAGGGAACTGCAAATTTCAAACAATGTCTGGAGATTCATTGCAATTGACAGGAAGCTCTCTTGAACAAAAAATATGAACTTTTTTATTGTCAACACCTTTCACAATTTTTACTTTCAAGTGCTGCATCTGGAAAATCCTGGAGAAATGCCAGCCTCCACAACCGTGTGCACAGAGACAGATCCTCACATAAAGGATTCTTACTAGTGTCCCTAGCTTTCCACAGTAGTACATAGCTCACTGTCTTTGGAAAATGATCCAAAATGCAGTTTTCTATGCTAAATCACTTCCTGGGGTGCATTTACCATGCAACTTACACAGTTTAAGTCTAGAGATTTGTGTCTAAATATAGCTCTGGATACACCTCCAAAGCCTTCAGCAATGCAGACTGTGACTAAAAAGTGCTTCCCCCTGTCGCACTCAACATCCACACACACTGCTTAGAAAAGGAATTGAAACTACCTGACTGTGTGGAGATTTCAGCAGTCCATTCCTAGTAATCAGAGTCAAGAGCAAAGCAGAAGTGTCTATTGAAGGAAGAGGGAATGTATGAGGGTTTATTTTGGCAGTCTGCTGATCCCCAGCTCCTGGGTGTAGAGGACAGGCGGTTTCCAAAGTAAGTTCATGGTCGCACTCAGCACCTGTAGTTACTAGGAGCTTGATGGGCTGTGCCCTTTTTTTTATCTCCAGATAATTGAGGGACTGATTAGAGAAAAGAATTACTGATTTGGAAGTGTTGGTAACTAATTTTTAGGAATAGTGAGAGGAGTTAGAGAGGAATTTGTTAAGTAGAAAGATATTTCCATGCTATTTCAGAAATTTGGGCCTAAGGGAAATCCTCACTAATATACCATACAAAGTATTTAGTGTGTTTCTGCTCTGTGCTGGTATTTACAGTCATATATATGTTATTTTCCCCTCAATGCTCTATTTGTTAATCTTCAGTAATGAAAATCAAAGCTGTTTTATAAGCAAAGCCATTCTGGTTTGGAGACATCTACATTTAAGAGTTTGGTGTGTATATATAAATACATATATACATAAATATATATATAAACCATAAAAACATTCATCCAGCATCTGTTTATTCTGAAATAGTCTGCGTCTTTGAACAGTCTAATATGGACATCTTGATTCCTAAGAATGAATTACCACATGCAATACTGGGTAATTTTCTTCTAAAGTCTGAAATAAGAAAATGTTCTACAACAGGCTATCTTTTCAACTCCATTAAAGCTCTCAACAAGAGCTAGAGAAAGAATCACACTCTTGAAAAGCTAAAGGAAATGAACTGTCCATGTCCCTAGATCTCCAGTATGGTGACAGTTCCCTTAGGATATGCCAGATATCCTCTCAAGACTGGGTGATTCAAAATATTCTGAAGTAAATACAACTCTAATTGTTGTTGTTATTATTATTGTTGTTATTTCAAAATATTTTGATGCTGAGGAAAGCAATAAGTTGTCTTTTAATTTGACTAACCGGTAATAAAGCAGATGTAGGTGGCCAGGGACTCTTTGGCAGTAGCAGCTGTGGATCCCACTTGCTTTCATAAGGCTTGTATGTAAAAAATCTCCTGTCAGAGTCCTTTTGCTTTCCTTTCAGTGGTTCAAGTTCAGGATCTGAAAATATCAAGCAAACACTATTTATAAGCTTTAGGAAAAATTCTCTGGATTCTAGGATTTGAAAAGCTATGCGTATTGTTAATCAGCTAGAATACAGAAAAAGGAGCATTCAGACATACAAAGTAAACATTATAAGCAAAAATTATTCTTTCTATGGCACTGCTGTGAACAAAGCCTTGCCTTTGCCTTTGTCTACAAAGAAAGTAGTGTTTTATGCTACATGGTATGTATGTGTGTGTACTTTAGTTTATGTGTAGTTAATTATTTTCAAATAAGTTGTCCTTGTAGGAGGTGAAGCTATAGAAACACTGGAGGGCAGGCACCCCATTCTGGACCATCCACCACAGTAGAAATGCAGATATGGACTACTATATCTACAATGAGTACAGCAGACATTGGACTTGAATCCCAGTAACTGGGAATAACCCCCATTACAAGGCTGAAATTACAGTCTTATCAGAAAAATCAACATTAACAAGCAATTTTCAGCTAATAATCCTGCTTGTATCAGGTGTCCTTAAATCTAAAGTGTCCTTGTATGAGTGAACTAGTGTAATTTCTGCGATCTAAGTCTGTCATTTAGAGCTTGGAAGTGGAATTTCTCTGATATTGAAACTAAGGGGAAAAACTACTCTTTGGTCTTCAAGTTTCACTAAGGCTACTTAAGACAGGATTGAGGGTTCTGCACTCTTATTCCTGTTCCCTAATGTTGAAGTAATGTTCCTAAATTCTCTAACACAATAAATGTGCATGTTGTGAAGGACTCACCTATGTTTAAATGCCATGGTTTTAACTTCAGATTGAAAGGAGCGCTGGGATAACCTGTCACAGAATTTGGTAAATTAGCTTCATTCTGCACTACTGAAAGGAAAATACATTTTAACATTAGAAAAGCCACCATGACTAGAAACAAAACCATTGAGAAAGAAAAGAAATTGAAGAAATGAAACACCATTAAAAAATTTGAAACAAAGAGAAAACTATAAAATGGAAAGTGATGACATGAAGAGCTGGGAAATGGACCAAATGTTGTCCAATCCATACTCATTCAAATCACAAGGTTTCATTTCCTTTCATGAAATGAGAGGAAATTAAATCTTGAAATCAGAGAATAAAGTGTAACAAACACTCTGGAATGGAAATATGATAAAATACAAAGAAATGGATTAGGATAACATGAAGTGCAAGGAGGTGGACCAAGCCTTGCTGAATTGATCCTCACTGAAATCACAAGATGGATATTCTTCATTTTATCAAAGGAAATGAAATCTTGACATCAGAGAACAAAGTGTATCATGCACTCTGGAAAGGAGATATGATAAAATCAAAGGCAATTTAAAAAAATAAAGCAAATTTGGAAATGGAGTTGTTATAAATGAAATTAGAATTTTGACAACTAGGTCCCTTGAGTTAACAGCAGTTTAATAAAAATGAATACAATTTAGTAAATTGAATAATAATTTGGTATAAAAGAATACAGTTTAGCAAAAGAATACAATTTAGCAAAAAAATACAATTTATATATATAATTTGCCAGCAATTAAGTATGATTAAAGCATAAGCAAAACTGACCAGGGTACAGGGAGGGCTTGTTACCCCACCTCATGTACAAAACCAACTGGGGTATGGAGGCTTCCCACCCTGCCTCACGTACAAAACAAAGCACTTCAAGCTAAACTTATACACCGTATGCTATACATATTCATTAATGTTTCCTGTAAGTTTCCTCCTATTTCCGAGTTTTCTGGTTTTACGTCACTATTCTTCATTATGCATGCCTCACTTGTTGCTATGGGGTGTTCAGTCTTCTTCTGGTGGTCTTTGGACAAAGGCTTACGCTCATCCTCGCTGTCCTCTGGACAGCCTCACAGGTTTGTGTGTGCATACTAAGCGTTGTGTTATGTAAGTCCACTAATTAGTCTTACATTTAATGATTTTTAGGCCCTATGCCTAAAGTTGTTCTAGTTTTGTCCATCTCAAGGCTGTTTTCGTCTTGGGACATCACTTACCTTCCAAACCACATCCTGTACCTCAGTTTTAACATGTAACATCTGTAAAGGGGTACGTCTGCCTTGTAACACTGATACTCTTGTTTGCTTGTAATAATAACTTTCCAAATAGTTACAATTTAGTTATCACAAATCCATTCCATTTATTACAGAGTGAATATGAGGAAATGGACTGGGATGACATCAGGTCTATGGTTCCAAGGACTGAAACTTGCTAAAATTATGCTCATTCAAATCTCGAAATCAGGAAACCAAGTGAAATGAAGGGACAGGAGAAGAAATTGAAGAAAAGAAATGCCATTAAAAAAAAAATCGTTTTGAAGTGAAACCAATTAAACAGAGTGGGATGACATGAGGCAGAAGAAATTTATTGGTAGAGAAATACAGGTGTTCCTACTGAAGGGACATAGAACAGGGCACAGAGAAAGAAAAGGAGAGACGACGAGAGAAGCCAAGGACAGCATTTGACGCTGCACAGGTGTTTGTTCGGCAGACGGACCGTGCGTGCTGTGAGCAGCCTGTCCCTGGCGGTGGCCAGAACGGGCTGGCGCTGCGGGCCGGCTCCGGGCAGCGCCACA